CACTCTTCCCCTGCTCACCCCAGGGCTGCCCTCCACTCCTCCTTCACTGGTCTCTGCGTCTTCTCTCTGTCTCCCAAAAGCTCTTTTATGTCTGTTAGATTCCTGGCTACGCAGTCTCACCATGCAGCATATTAAGTTGCTGCTTTGATCGGTATAGGCAGCAGCAAGGTGTGTTGGAGATTTCTTTATCTACAGCACCCAGCAGCCAGTACCTTGATTTTCCTCTAAACTAAGCTTTTCTGATTTTCCCCCAAATTAAGAGGGTTCTTTCCACTGATGCCTAGAATACTCCCAGAAATTTTTAAATTGTCTGTCAAACAGGATGACTTTTGAACACCAGAGCCAAACAGAAATGCCCTCTGGTGTAGGGCTCACTTGACTTGACCAATAGCATAGGGGAGAGAGAGGTCTTGGAAACTAATTCTAGACTTTGAAGAGGAAGTGTTTAGGTCTAGGACCTCAGTGATAGTTTTCTCTGAAATGCTTCCGGTGCCACATGCAGGTCCAGCTTAGCAGAAGGAACTTCAGAGTCTCAGTGCACAGTTGAGAAGAGGATATAAGCTGATGAATAGAATTTGGAACTAAATTAGAAGGGCCAAGATATATTCCTAAAGAACAAGTAGCTAACCATGTAAAATGAAAGAGAAATTCTTTAAGTACGTCAGAAACGGGAGACTTGCTAAAAAAATTTAAATCTGCTGGGTCATCAGGGTTTTAGGGAGTAATCAAGGAAAATAAGGATGCTGCTAAGACTCTGAATGGTTGCATTGCCTCAGTCTCCACTGCTGAGGATTAGAAAAATACTTACTGTGAACCTGCTCTTTTCCAGTAGTAAAGATCATGTAGTACTCTGAGATTGAGGTGATGGAAATAGTAGTGCTGGAGTAAACTGATCATTTAAAATGCAACAAATTATCTTGTGAATGAGCTCAAATGTGAACTAGTTGAGCTGCTAACAGAAAATGTTAAGCTCTCATTGAAAGTAACCACTGATCCAGAGGATTGGAAATCAGAAAATGTTGTACGTATATTTAAAAGACTTTGTAGAGGTCATCTGGGAATTGTAGATCAGTAAGTCTTAAAATTGTACCTGGAAACTTTTTGAAAAGATAATTAAAATCAGATTAATAAGCTCTTTTTCTCCCCTTAACAAAAGGCTAATTACTGTAGACATTATAATATGATATCTATGCTAACTTCTTATTTATTATTTCTCAGACAAAACAGGTTCTTTATCTTTAATATACTGATTCCTATGATGTATGAAAAGCATATGTGATAGTTTGTTTGACGGGACTTATTTTTAGCTGGCATTGCTTTAGCAACAGATTGTAAAAATAAACGTAATTCTCTCAGTTATCATCATAGACCAGGTCTTCCATGACTTTGTTTTGGAGATGTACAAATGTTTCCAAAGCATGGATAAACCCTGTGATCTTTGTTTAACATTTAACGCTGTGTGCTATCAATATTATTTTAGTTAGAGAAGTACTTTCATTTAAAAAGCAAACATTCAACAATTCAAAAAAATTAAATATGAATTTTTTGGTTTTATAAATATAGGTGATTTAGCCTGTGTTTAGAGTTATTCTCTTATAACGGTCTCGCCCTATTTCACAATACTTCCTGATTGTGATATGACATTATTTACAGAAATATTTGCTGATGAACAAATAATTTAGTGGTTTTTTTAAATTTTCTTCCTTTCAAGAGAGTAAATCCTCTAGGTATTTGACAATATTACTATGGCATAACCATACAGAACTACAGTAACTAAAGTACATTAAATAGACACTTGAACTTGAACTAGTAATGTAAGCATCTAGTCGAGTTGTCGAGATGCAGCAAGGGGGGCCGAGCAGGAGCTGGTGCTGGGGGGAGCCAGCTTAAAAGCCAGTTCTCCCCAGCGTAGTCTCCGTAGTGCCGCCTGTCTCCTCCCTCCCCCCGTGCTGCTACCTCTATTAGAGACGGCAGTATGGGGGCAGGGGCAAGGGAGGCTGCCGCAAAGCAGCTTCTGCCCACTACTGGTCCAGGTTCACCATAAGCAGAGGCTTCCCCCACAGAGAGGGGTTGCTGGACCCAGTGCGAGTTGGGATTGATCAAGCCAGCTCAGTCCTGGCTCATGCTGGATCTGGGAGCTGCCTCAGCTGTGGCTCTGCATTTTAAATGTAGTAATAGGAGGGTGGCTCTTCCTACATTTAAAATGCAGAGCTGAAGCGGTCCCAGGCCTGACGCGAGGTAGGGCTGAGTATGCCCAGCTCTGTCCTGTCTCACGCTGGGTCCAGGAGCTACCCCCACTGTGGCTCTGCAGTGTAAATGTAATAGGGGCCAGGCTGCCTGTGCACCTGGGTCCTACTATGTTTAAATTCAGGGACAGGCAATCATTTTTGAATGGGGGCCACTTCAAGCATTTTTGAAGTGGTGGCAGGGCCTTGGACAGAAGGGGGGGAGCCTTTAAATAGCAGGAGTTGAAAGGGCTCATGCTTCCCCTGCGGCTCCCAGGCATCATGTTAGTGAGGGACAGGAGCTGCAAGCCCTTTCAATTTCTGCTATTTAAAAGGGCTTGCTGCTCCTAGCCTCACTGCCAGGGATGCTAGAGTGTTCCCTCTAAGATTTTCCTTGGGCTGGTTGAAATTCCTTATGTGCACCAATATTGAGATGTTATGTGTCTGTGCACCTACCAGTACAAACAAAAACCTTAGATATAAATGTGTATTTTAAGTAGTCTATAGGTGCGGAAGAAAATATATTAAAAGAAAAGATAATTAACAAGGAGCAATGCTTATGATTATTTAATATGAAATCAAATGAAAAGAAAATTAACACTGCCCATGGCTGAAGAGGTGGACTGTGTTCAGGAAAGCTCGTGATACTATTTATATATTTTTATTAGTCTCTAAGGGTATGTCTACACTAGCCCCCTAGTTCGAACTAGGGAGGCTAATGTAGGCATTCGAAGTTGCAAATGAAGCCCGGGATTTACATATCTTGGGCTTTAT